AGTGTCGTACTTTTATTGATGTTAGTTATTAAATTATGACATTTCAGTTTAGAAATATACATACCGTTGAAAAACTATGGTTGCCTAGATGTTAAGACGTCTGACTATCAGCGTTCTTACTAAATTAACAAAGTCCATCGTATCATATAATATAAATATAAACAACTTTTATTTAAAGAGGTTTTTATATGTTAAGTTAAGCCCCTTTATAACATTTTCACCACATAACAATGTTAAAAATTGATTCTTTACCCTCCCCAAATACAAAATTTGTGAACCAAATGAAAGTTTTAATAGCTTACACAACCCATCCAAAGTTTCCAATTTTTCCAACAAACTGATAAGTATAACCAAATAGATGAATATACACCCCACCTACAAAAAGTTTCAGCATAAAAGAAGGGCATATAATCCACAAGAATTTGGAAGTGAAAAAAAATGAGACACCTTTATAATTTACATAAAGAGGATGCCATGGGAATTGTTTGTTTTTGCACAATGGAAGTAAGGCACCAATGGAGATAAGGTGTAGAAAAAGAATGAGATCTACACAAGAATATGCAAAAATGTGAAGATAGAAAGAAAAACAATGGCCCCCCAATTTTGTACAAGAATCTCTTTTGCTATGTGTCTTGAGCTTTAAATGCTTTATGGCCTTTTCATGTACAAAAATAATATGATAAAGATAAAATGGAGATCACAAATACTTATGTCAGATAAACTAACAGTTAGACGGATCGGCTAGCCATACTAATTGAACACAAATATGCATATTTGTATTTATATTATTTTTTAAGTATAACATTGTATAATGAAAGTACTAATCAATTATTATTATAATTAATATTATTATTTGAATAAAGTTTAATGCTTTGTTAATATACTATATGGAACTAAAAAGCATTGTTTGTAGCTGACAAAAGATTGGCCATACAGCTAAGTTTCAAGTCGTGGGTTGACTGGTTTGACCTTTGAAAATGTACAAGTCCTTTCTAGTATGGATTGCGTACTTAGCTCTGTTATTGTACTTCAGTTGTGAATTTATTGTTAAATATTATAAACATTCTTGATTTGTTGCGGTTGATTTGATGGATTTTACTGAATTTGTTACGGTTCGGGATTGGAATGTCATCTGTTAGGTCCAAGAGAAAATTCAAGAATAGGTTTTGACTCGTTGTGAACTCGGTCTGTTAAGACTTGAGTTTAGTTTGTTAATTTTAATAACGAGTAGAGTCTAGAGTTCCATATAAAAGTTCATTAGTTGATAGTTCGATTTGTTAGTTTGATAAATGGATTGAACTCAAAATTCGTAGACAACTTGTTTAGTTAGCAAAAATGGTTTGAACTCAGCGATCAAGAATGTGAGTTTGATTACTCACGACCCTTTATAGCTCTACGCACAACCCAATAAGGACATCTCGTTGGTCATCTAATTTATTTTCGGTCAAAATAAAATTAATTTTGAACTAATTTAATAAAATGAATTAAAGTATTTTTTACTAGTATAAACATAACATAATTGAGAAATTATGACAAGGTTCGAACCACCCCAGCATGTGAGGTGGCTCCGCCCCTGTTGCCGACTCGATTTTGATATACTGCATTTTTTTATTTTTTTTACCCACATCTCTAAAGGTTCTTACACATGAAACTCTTGCTAAGGCTCATACAAATCTATAACTACCTCATGAATGTCATATATTATTATTGACTTGAAATGTGACCTCTTTTGCATACAAGTTTATATTCATATGGTGTTCTTATGTTTCTTTATTCTTGAGCTCCGAAATAATAGTATTTCACTGAAGACTAATAATGTAAGGCGTCGTTTACTTCGGGGAATAGGACAAGATAAGGAAAATAATCCCAACTATCTTACGTTTACTTAGCGGGATTGGGATAGGAATAAACTTACCTGGCGCCCATGTGGCAAGCGATTATCAGCGAATCTCGGACAAAAAAATTCCGCCTCCCCCCGTGATAGAATAATCCCGACTTCAACTTACCGATTTTACCCTCAGATTTTGTTGCGAAAAGACAAAAAATATCCCTTATTTTCATTTAATTTACAAATTTATTACAAATAAAAAGGCAGAATCGGCTATTTTTCCTAGCTGTAGTGCAAAGACTTACGACGCCATTGTTGGGAAGAGGTTGAAGCTTCTGATTCCTAAAAAGGTGAGCTTCTCTCTGTTTCTATTATGCTTTGCTTTTCAGTTTCGATTGCATTCGATTTGTCGAACGTAAACCGATTTAGGGCACAATTTGCTGCTGCTAAACTTACCCGTCGTCTTCGCCGCTCTCGCTGAATTAACCCTAAAATTGACGCTCTTGGCACAATTAGGGCACAACCGATTTAGGCCCGACTGATACGGCTCGACTGAGTGTGTCGCCGTCGTCGACTTCCTGTTTCACGCGACTCCTTTATACCAATTTTATGGGCAACTGGTCGACGGATTTCTGGCGAACGAATTTCTGGAATGGGTATGAAAATTGGGGAAAAAAACTCGCGAAAATGTGAATGGATAAGGAATGAGACGGATGATTGATGGGAGGGTATAATTGTCTTTTAATTCTACACCACATAAATTTGTCATGTAAAGTAAACAGTAATGCTAAGGAGTCAACTGTTGGCTCCGTTACGGAACCAACAACCAATGGGACAACTTCATGTGGGTTGTCCCACATTGGAGCCATGTGGGACAGTCCCACATGGAACTGTCTCATTGGTTGTTGGCTCCGTTACGGAACCAACAATTAGCTCCTTAGCATTATTGGTAAAATAAATACATGATAAGGTTTGCATAAAAATGGGTTTGTGCTGACGTGGAAAGGAGATGAGATTAATGGGTTCAATCCTATCCCTAGAAGTAAACGGCCCCTAACTGTATACTTCTATAAAAAAAATTTGAAAGTAATTCTGTCTTGAAGACGTTAGCAACAAATCATTGATAATTTCGTTTCATTCATTCGTTTTTTCTTCAATTTTGTAAGTTTTTTTATTTTTTTTTTTTTACTAATTAAAAACACCTTTGTAACTTGGCCCACTAAAAATACTGATTTCAAATTGTATGATGAAATTACCAATTATATTGGTGCATGTATGAATGTCACCTTAAAGGATTGAGATTTCCTATTTAGTTTTATGGAGTTGGAAAAAAAAAACAAATCCTATTTTAGAAAGAATTGTCAAGGGTATGCTTAGGGATGTTAATAAAACCTATATGGTCGGATTACCCACATTTTTAGGTCGGGTAAATTCGAGATGATTGGGTTTCGGGTCGGGTTAGGGTAGAATTATGCTACCCGAACCCCGGGTCGGGTCGGGTGCGGGTATAGTAGGCAAACCCATTACCCGACCCGATTACCCTACCCGCTTACCCGCAACCATTGAATCATATATACATATACATACATATATATATTTATAACTTATAATAAATATAAAAGTAGTCATGTGTTATTTTTAAAAATTAGATTATCTATT